ATTTATTAAAATTTTTATATATGTTTATACTTTTAATTTGTACTTCTATGAATAGCTGGGACAATTTTCTACACATTTAAGAGATTTTACAGTTTTTTGTTAACTTTTTGTTCATATACATGTGTCCATTTTGCTATTGGATTGTGGGTCCTTTTCCTCATTAATTTGTATATGTTCCTTATATCCTAAGTGAATTGGCTCTTTGTGATGTGAGTTACAAATATCTTTAGTCATTTGTTTGACTTTGCTTACAGTATTCTAACCCACACAAGTTTTTTTTTTTAATTAAGAGGAGCAGAAATTTTGCCTGAAGTTTTTTTTAATGTAGTTGAACTCTTCAATATTTTGAATTCAAATGCCTTTTGAATTTTGTGTCCTATATACCAGCATTATTAAAAAAATACATTCAACCATGATTTGTTTTGGTATTTTTATGGTTTCATTTTTACATTTCAGTTTTTATCCAAATGAAATTATCCTGGAGCATGAGGTATATATTTAAGTTAATTTTTCCTGGATGGCATCTAGTTTTGTCCATACCTTTTATCCAATAATCCTTCTTTCCCCTTTATATCTGAAGTACCATGTCTATCAGATATCAAATGCCAATCTGTGCTTGGAACTATTTCTGTTCCATTGATGTGTCTATTCATATTCTAGTAGCACACAGTTTTATCGTTGTACCTTTATGCTGTGCTTTACTTATCTGATAGAAAAAGCACTTGGGAAGGTCTGTTACTCTTCTTTAGGAATTTTCCTAGCTGATTTTGTTTTCCCAATGAATTTCTCATAGCTCCTCTAGTTTTCCCCAAATTATATAATTTAAATATAGCTAAAATAATATTCAATATATAGATTAATTTAGGGTAAACTGACAACTTTGTGCTATTGAGTTTTCCTATTCAAGAATCAGATGTGCCTTTCTACACACGTGTTCAAATCTTTTGTATGCCTCAGGAGCCTTTTCAGGTTTTCTTTATGTAGGTTTTACACACTTCTTTTTAGGCTGAAACACTGTTTTGGGTTTTTTTTTAAGATTTTATTTATTTATTTGACAGAGAGAGAGAGACAGTGAGAGAGGGAACACAAGCAGGGGGAGTGGGAGAGGGAGAAGCAGGCTTCCCGCCGAGCAGGGAGCCCGATGCGGGGCTCGATCCCAGGACCCTGGGACCATGACCTGAACCGAAGGTAGACGCTTAACGACTGAGCCACCCAGGCGCCCCTGAAACACTGTTTTTTTAAATTATCATTGAGGGCCTTATAAACGAGTATTTCAGAAAAAGATCCTGCCATCCCTTCAGTGGTATCTTTTGCCTCTAGGATTAAATCTAAACTTAGCCTTTCATTCCGGGCTTTCCATATTCAGCTAAAAACCTATTTTCCACATGTTTCCGGCTTACCTGTAGCTACCCAGCGGCCCCCGAAAAAGTTCCATCCTTCCATGCCTCTCTGTCTGGGAACGTCCGGCCTCCCTGGCTCCCCTCCTCCTCTGCTTGTCCAAAGTGGTTTTCTTCGTGAGACCCCCCCCCCCCACTGCCTACTGCTTGACTATTCCAATTAGAAATGACCTCTTTCCTCTTCGGCCCATGACCATTTATCTGGTAATTAATCCAGTATCACCTTGTGACAGCTTTTGTATTATTAAAATGAACTGCCTTTTATCTCTTGTGTGGTTGCAAAATTAACTGCTCGTGAGTTTTTGTCTTGTTTCCTCGACGAGATCATGAGCCCCTTGGGGAAAGGGAGCCTGCCTTGTGCCCTGCACAGCATCCAGGACAGGACCCTACATGTTGTAATCGCAGTAGTAGTGATGTTAACAGTGATGAGGACGTTTACGGCTAGCTTTCTGCGTGCCAGGCACTGTTCTAAACACTTCGCATGTATAAACTCACTTACTAGTGGATAAGTATTTGAGTTTTGGTATTGTGGGTTTATTTGACCTCAAACCAAACCTTTGAAAAAGAGTGTAAAAGAAAGATCACCCAGTCACAATATCCAGACAGTTCTAGCTGGCTGTTCAGAGAAGAGGGTGAGTTTTTTAGGAGAAGCCCTGACATTTAGGGGAGGACTGAGGATGGCCACAGCCTGGGAAGGAAAGAAAGAGGGAGAAGAACAGGCAGGAATGGAGATGCCCTAAGCTTGAGGGCAGCAGAAGCACCAGGGTTTTCTGAGGCTCTGGCTTTGAGTCAAGCCATGCTGGTGATTTGCTCCCTTTTCCTGCACTGGCAGGGTTAGGAGTCTCGAAATAAGGTCTGACCCCTAGCCGGACCTTGCTGAGCCTCCGTTCCACAGAGGGTCACTGCAAGCTGGCCCAGGTTCCCTGGGGATAGCAAGCCCCATGCATGGCCACTGCCCCGACCTGTCCCCACCAGCCGGATTCCCACCCCAGCTGGCCCTGGACCACCCGCCTCTCCTGCACTTGGAGGGCTCCCGATGAGCGCCTGGGCCATGCTAGGAGTGAATGTGCTGAGCATGCCGATGTGGGACAGCCAGAGCAAACAGCTAATGGAAATTAATTCCCACCCCTGGGCCTTTTCTCTCCTCAGGCTTATCATTAGCTTCTCAGAATCTTTCCTGTGTCTCTACACTGCAGAATGTTTCAGGGTCCTGGTGATTCTGGGCAATTTCACCCTAGCCTCCAAGTAAAAGGCAGCCAGGAAGCTGCCTCCCTGAGCTCTAAACTGTGGCTCCAACATTTTGGGGTCTAGGAGGCTTCATTTGTATGTTGAAAACTGGGGAGGTCTAAGGGTCAGTTAGGACACATCAGTACAAATCTGTGTGCCAGCCCAGCAGCCAAGAATTAAATCCCACATCCCCGGCTAAAAGCACTTCCTTACCGTTTGTCAAGCACAAATAAAAGGGTTTCAGCACCTGTGTAATGACATTTTTGGATTCTTAAAAACAGGAAAAGGCGAAAGGAAGAAAGCACTTTAGGTTTTTGATACACTGATCTCTAGAGGGGCTAAAACTTTCAGTCCCTTGGTCAAAGCTCCACAATCAGTTGGAAGAGCTAGCGCCTTCTTTAAACAGATCTAGTTTCGAGGGTGCCTGGGTGGCTCAGTTGGTTAAGCGACTGCCTTTGGCTCAGGTCATGATCCTGGAGTCCTGGGATCAAGTCCCGCATTGGGCTCCCTGCTGAGCAGGGAGTCCGCTTCTCCCTCTGACCCTCCCCCCTCTCATGCTCTCTCTATCTCATTCTCTCTCTCTCTCAAATAAATAAATAAATAAAGTATTAAAATCTAGTTTCTAGGGAAGGCACCATGGAGTTGTGACTGACTCTGCTAAATCCACACATGCCCCAGAATAAATGCCAGTGCATCACTGAATCTTCAGTTACATTTTACTGAACAGTCCTTGAAATCAGGAAAGTGGTTTAATTTGCTGCCAACAAAAGAGTAAGGAGAGTTTTCCCCCTGAAACTCTGCCCAGAGGTCCCGGTTGAGTGGGTTGACATTTTAATTTTATATGTGAGACTTAGAGAGTCAGTAGTGGTATTTTTCCTCTTTGCGGAAGTCTTATTTAGACGGCTGCCATTGAAGTCTTTATATGGGACACCAGGGCTCGTCTTCTTTATAATAGAGCGTGTCTGCCTCAAGGAGAGGGCTGTCTTTCTTGTCCTTGAGTTTCACCTCCTCCCAGAGCCTGGCACCTCGCCATTATACAGTAAACATTGGCTGAATGAAGAAGTGAATAAAATGTCTGAGTTCCTAACACCAAAATAGCAGTGCAATAGGAAGGCATTGGACGCTGTGTACCTCAGGAACCGTGAAAAATTATACCCTTGAGCCCACGCTGCTGGGCTCCTCTTTTTGTTGTTGTTCAATCAGATATTTAATAATTTAACAAGCCAACCCTGCCACGGTTTGGGCTCGGCCAAGCGGACGTTTAGTCTGCTCCCAGGGTGCTGGCATCCCTCCTGGCTGGGCTGCTCTGAGTCTGCCCTCTCTGTGCCCGACCCCCCACACACCCTCCCCAGGGATCCTCTGTGGCCAGAGGCCCAGCCCCACTGCCAGGTCAGCTCCTGCACCAGACTGCCTGCAGCCTCTTGCCACAAACTCTTCACTGAAGCCAACCGAACAAGAGTTCACCCTTCCTCTGCCGTTCTGGGGGTGAGAGATCCAGCATAACGCAATGGCTAGCCCCCAACCCAAGCCTCCCTTATCTCTAACCTCGTGTGGATCACACATTCCCCTTGCCTTGCTCATCATTCTTCTCTGCCTACCAGGAGCTCCTTGAGGGCAGGCAGTTGGTTTGACTTTTATGAATTATCAGACCTAGCCCAAGCCTGCCACCAACAGGAGCTGAATAAATGTGCAATCGACTACAATACAGCTCTGGAGCACTCACTGTATACCAGGCTCTGGGCCTTAGGGATATAGAAGTGAACCAGACAAGACTTCGCTGGGCTCGAGATCCCTACACTCTTGCAGGAGAGATGGGCTTTCAACTCTTATGAATGTGAAGCAAGATCTTAATAAGAAATGCATATGCAGGGACGAGGGCACACATGGGGAGGCCTAACCTAGCCAAGGGGTCAGGAAAAGCTTTTCAGACAAGCACTGACTCCCGCCAGACAAACAGGAGTTGGGTGGAGGGGGCTGGAGAGGGGAAGGGCAAGAGAGACCATCCTAGGCAGAGGGAATGTTGGTTGGATGGGTAGATGGGTGAACCTTGCATTAAAATCCGAGCTTGCCGCTACAGTGGGACAGCATTCTGTCAGGCACAGGAAACAGGTGGCTGCATGAGGGGTGCATAGCCATTGTGCATAGAATGTGGTGGTGGAAGTTATCTCTTCATTGCCCCAGTCATGGCACATGGACCCATGTTGCCCAAGGCTACACCCTGATCACAAATGTTCCTAGGCCGGGAGTGGGATAGACACATCTGCCTCCCCTGCCAAGGATCAGGGGACCCTGGAATTAAGAGAAAATCCTTCAGCCCATTGCACATTGACACTGCCAACCTTGGGCACCTCACCCAAGACTCTTCTCCCCACTCAGATGAGCGGGAAGTTGTTCAGAAGAAGACCTTCACGAAATGGGTGAACTCGAATCTGGCTCGCGTGCCCTGCCGCATCACTGACCTCTACAAGGACCTGCGGGATGGGCGGATGCTCATCAAGCTGCTGGAGGTGCTCTCTGGAGAGATGCTGGTAAAAGCCCCTTTCCCCGAACCCTGTGGCTGGTGCTGTGCCCCCTCTTTAGAAAAGACATGACTGGGGATGTTTCCAGTTCTCACGGCCTTCAAGGTTTCTCCCTCTTCTTTTGGGAGGTTTCATTACTTACTGATGTGAGATGTCCGTGTGGCTTACTGAGTTCTCTGACCTCTTGTCAGAATGTATTGCCTCTTGGCCATTCCCACCTCTTCATGCTTCTCCCAGAAGCCATGCAGAGCTCTTGATTCCTCCACTGGGGGGCAAGGCATCTGTGGCCGGCCTGCAGTGGACCCACCCTCAGCCTCCTCACGCAGGCTAAGATGGATTCTGTTACCCAGCTGGAGAAATTGACACGCTTCTTGGAACCAAGAGGAGAGCATGGAGGATATTTTCCTGTGTGTCCTATCACTCTTACAAGTGGAAATGTAGTATAGGCCCTCTCCATTGTGACCCACCTGGCAGTAACGTTGTCTCTGAGGGGGAACCAGATTAAGGTTCAAGTTTTGCTCAGTCACTTCCATCATAACCTTGGGTCTATCAGTCAGGACCTTCTTTTCCTTGTTTCCCCTAAGTAATAAATGATACCTGTACCTGATGAGGTACTAAGATCCTCGGGGTTTGAGTGAAAACATACCATGTTCTTCCGTTGACTTTTTCAACTCCAGGCTGCTGCCTCTTACAGAAAGAGTTACCATTGGGAACCCTTCACATGATGTGGTTACTTCTCGGTGGTGGGCCCCTTAAGTTTTGGCTGGGGCCATTCAGAGGTGGGGAGGGAGGAGCTTGGATGGTGGGATGGCCCGCGTTGTCAATCCCCAAACAAAAAGCCACTCTTATCACAGGCAGTTAATAGTGCTTAGAACTGTGCCTGGCATAGAATAAGTGCTCAACTGTTTGTTGTGTCAGTGCTTTTGAATGGCATTTATTACCCCCTCAGAAGTCTTTGTTCCAACCCAGGAATAATACCAATGCAGCCCAATTACAGAGCTCTGGGTGCCCAAGAAAGGGGGAGCGTCTGAACTTTGCAGAAAGGATGGGATTGAAAAGTGTCAAGGAGTGAACCTGAGAGTTGGAGATTGGCTGGGAGGGTGAGGGTGGATGCTGATGACAGGAGTTGATCCAGGCTGCAGTCACCTCTGGGGTGACTGTGAGGTCCCTCCATGCCCATGGGGTCAATGCCGTCCCTCAGCCAAAGCCCACAAAGGGGAAGATGCGCATCCACTGCCTGGAGAATGTGGACAAGGCCCTACAGTTCCTCAAGGAGCAGCGTGTGCACCTGGAAAACATGGGCTCCCATGACATCGTGGATGGCAACCACCGCCTGGTCCTGGGCCTCATCTGGACCATCATCCTTCGCTTCCAGGTGGGTTCCTGAGGGAGCAGAGGGAGCCTCCCTGGGTCAGGAAGGCGAATGACGTGTATTTGTGCACATTCTGGGAGGCTAGAAACCTGTCCTATGGGGCAGTATTTATAGGAAGAAGTGACCATCCTCTGCACTGACTAATTGCTGAAGCTCAGGGTGAGCTGTTCAGTTAGCAGTGTAGTCTTTTGAGGGAGAAGATAGAAATTAGTAGCTGGGGTGAGGTCTGGCTGGGAGATCTGCTTTTGTCGCTTTCCCCCAACCTATGTAACTTTTTGGTTTTTTTTTTTAAATCGTTTGATTCAGAAGTTGCAAAAACAATACAGAAGATCTATATTAAGTTTTTCAATCAGGAACTTTTTTCTTCCCACCCTGAAATTCAACGGTCGTTATTTGTAAAGAGAATTTAGAAAGTGCAAGGGAAGGAAAGCAGGGCCTTCCACCTGCTGGCTTGGGGACAGGAAAAATCTAGTCCTGGGACGCCTGGGTGGCTCAGTCGGTTGGGCGGCTGCCTTCGGCTCGGGCCATGATCCCAGGGTCCTGAGATCGAGCCCCGCATCGGGCTCTTCGCGACATGGAGAGCCTGCTTCCCCCTCTGCCTGCCTCTTCCCCTGCTTGTGCTCTCTTTCTCTGTCTCTCTCTCCCTTTCTCTCTGACAAATAAGTAAATAAAATCTTAAAAAAAAAAAAAAAAAGAAGAAGAAGAATCAAGTCCTGAGGGCAGGGAGAGCAAGGAGAAAGAAGATAGCAAACAACTCACAGATGGAAGCTCTCATCCGAGGGGTGCTGGGGATCCAATTTCACTCTGCGGGTGTGTACAATGAAACAGTAGTGACCACAGAATTGGGAAGAATGGAAAGAGGCGCTACTAATCAAAACAGAATACCTTTCAATATTTATGTTGTCCCTTTCAGGGCATTGTTCCTTAGAGGAGGATTTGGGGCATCTTGTTTATTCTCACTGTCCCATTAGTTACCAAGTTAGGGCTGTCTCCTCTGACATGAGGAGGCCATCCCTGGCCCGTTACAGCTGACTAAGGCGGGGAAACAGGCCACGGGGACCCAGGGCCTTGCACTGTGGTGGTGGTGCAGGGCCGGCGAGGCAGATGGATGGCTAAGAAGGAAGAGAGAGGGAGGGAGCTTCCCAGGGAGAGCAGGAAGGCACGGAGCCAGATGCAGATCTCGTTTCTCCCGCTCTCGTTCCCACACCCCTAGATTCAGGACATTGTCGTGCAAACTCAAGAAGGTCGTGAGACGCGCTCTGCCAAGGATGCGCTACTGTTGTGGTGTCAAATGAAGACAGCAGGGTATGTCCTGGGAACCCGTTCGCTGCTCTGGTCCCTGCTCCCCTCCTGCTTCCCCCACGTACTGCCACAGCCAAGGGACACACATGCCATCGCCCAGAACTATAGCAGCTTCGGCGTAACCGATGCAAAATGTATCCGGACCTGATTCTTGGAGGCCTGGAATTCGGGATTCCTTTCCAGAGTTGCCTGGGTCAGACCGTGGTGTCTGTTGGGTGTGCGAGTCTCTTGGGCCCACCTTATGGAGGAACCTCTTCGTCTGTTGCTGAAGGGGCTCAAGAAGGGACGACAGATCCATTTCTCTCCTGTGTATTGGTCCTTCAGTTCATACACTTTTGAGGACCCCAGAATAATCTGTTTCTTAGGTCTTAATGTTTCTCTTGGCTGCAGTTACCCCCAGGTCAATGTCACCAACTTTACCTCCAGCTGGAAGGACGGCCTGGCCTTTAATGCCCTGATACACAGGCACCGGTAAGCGGGGTGGGCAGGGCTGAGGGCAGAGCCCCTGGGCTGTTTGGGTACATTGCGCACAACGTGGAGGTCCCCATTCAAGCCTTCTCTCACCCGCAGCTTCCTGCCTCCCTGAAATTCCGGGCATGCCCTCTGCCCCTTCCCCACATTCTGGTGCTCACAGCTGCCCCTCCCCTGCTTTCTCTCTCCTCCTTTCACTTCTGCCCAGCTGTCTGTCCACTGTCTTTGCTTCGTGCCGGGGCTGCCCTGTAGTTGGGCAATGCTGTGGCCACCGCCTTTTAGCAGTCTGGCCTTGTCCCCAGGCCTGACCTGATCGACTTTGATAAGCTGAAGGACTCGAACGCGCGGCACAACCTAGAGCATGCATTCAAGGTAGCTGAGCGTCAGTTGGGCATCATCCCGCTCCTCGACCCCGAAGGTGAGCTGCACCTGCTCCAGCCCTTTGCTGCTGTGAGGGAGGTAACGTTCCTGCCAGAGGGAGCCCCAGACTGTCAGGACACTGAGAGGAGTCTAGGCCCAGTGCCGGGCCAGTCGCAGACACAGCGACGGGCCAGCGGCCAGGCCAGCGCTCTGCTCCGGGCCTGCTCTTCAGATCCAAGGCGGTTCCTGACCCTCACCTGGCCCGACCGGGGGCCCACTTGTAGTCTCTGGATTCTTCTTTTTCACTCCTTTCACTCCCTCTGTGGTCCAAATATGGATTTCATCCTCTTGCGAAAATCGCAAACACTCTTTCATTCTCACCCCTCTGGTTGTCTCTCGGTGCCTGGAGTTGAATTTCATGCTGGAGGAACAGGGAGATAAACCCTCTGAGCCTGACCGTTCCAGCTTCCAGTTGGGTCCTGAGCATGCACTCCTTCCCCTTGCAGATGTCTTCACGGAAAACCCTGATGAGAAATCCATCATTACCTATGTGGTGGCATTTTACCACTACTTCTCCAAGATGAAGGTGCTCGCGGTGGAAGGCAAGCGCGTGGGCAAGGTACTTCCACGGAGTGTCACCTCGTTTCCCTGTTCGCCACACTGCGATGCTCCTTTTCCATCCCGAGAGCTCTGAGTCTGGGCCCCAGCTGTGTGTTGGGGGGGGGGGGGAGACAGATCACCCCCCACCAACTTCCTCTGAAACCAAGCACTGCCGCCGCCATAATGGCTCCCAAGCTAAATTCCAAAACAAGTTGATGGTCTGTCCTGACCAATGGCCTCACCCCTATTCCCCATCTCATGAACATTTCCACGGGATATGATGGGCTTTTATGTATTGGTCTGTTGTAGTTCTGAGCCTCTTCACTCCGTGGTGTATCAGGAACCCATCCCACTGTACAGACCCTCCTGCCGGATGCCTTTCCCCTGCTGGCCCACAGCTCCCCAAGGATAGAGACCATTTCTCATTCATCCTTGTGTGCCTGGTGGTTAGCAAAGGCAGTGCCTAGAAGCCCTGGATTCCTAATAATGCATTTTAAAATAAACAAGACCTTGGCCCTTCTAGTGGCTGATGTCCTGGCACAGCAAGTTTACCAGTGTTTTATAGGCTTAGGGGGAGGGTGGAGCTGCCCCTGAACCCTAGCAGAGCTAGCTCCCTGCTAATGTTGCCAGTCCACTTCCAGTCCACTCCTCCTGCCTTAGCACTGCTTTTGGGCTCAGGGAACAAACCCACCATGGAACACTCCAGGACTGGAGAGGGGGACCGCCTTCACTGTGGTCCCCACCGGGGGCCTCATTGGTGTCATTGCTCTTCTGATAAGGATAAGTAATAAAGTGATTCCCTAGGTCATTGACCATGCCATTGAGACCGAGAAGATGATTGAAAAGTACAGTGGGCTGGCCTCAGAGCTGCTCACCTGGATCGAGCAGACTGTCACCGTCCTGAACAGCCGCAGGTTTGCCAACTCCCTGGCGGGCGTCCAGCAGCAGCTACAGGCCTTCAGCACCTACCGCACCGTGGAGAAGCCCCCTAAGTAAGGGCCTGGGCTCTGGGAGGCTGGGCGTCCGTGACTAGGATACTGACTGCCAAAGGTAGAGCCAGGCACTGGGCCTTGAGAAGTACATCCAGGAGGTATAGCCTAGAGGCCAGAGAGCCTCACATCTGTCATCTCCTTCACCCCCACCTTGCTTTCCTGCTCCCAAGCCATCAGCCTGCAGGAAAGGGGCATTGATGAGTAACCAGAGAAAGTACTGGAAAGTTTCTCTCTCCTCTGTGCACTGAGCTGTGCGTTTGTCATCTGGTAATGACCTCTGTATTCTCAGTCCCAGAGCTCTCTGTGTGGGGTCTTGTGGATCATCAGGTACATCCTGTTTCTCTCCCATCTGTCACTGCTCATCAGCAGAACATTTGGGGACCTCTCGGGACCTCTGCTTCACCCCAGTGTGTGCAGGGTCTGTGCACATGTGCGCACACATCTGCACGGCCATACTCATGCGTGTGCGTGCGCATACAGACGCACCCGTACAAACATGCACGCTTGGACACGCAAAGAGAGGGGGCATTCCGGCTCACCTGCCCTTAGCTTGTCCAGCTCTTCTGAAACAGATCTCTGGCTCATTGGTGGTACCCTCGGCTTGTTCCTCCCCCTCATCTCCCACACTCTTCATTCATGACTCTCAAACAGGGAAAGGTGAGACACAGAGTCTAGAATGTACTATAAACAAGTATCACGTTTCTGGCCTGACACTAACCCACTTTTTTTTTTAATTTTTTATTGTTATGTTAATCACCATATATTACATCATTAGTTTTTGATGTAGTGTTCCATGATTCATTGTTTGTGCATAACACCCAGTGCTCCACGCAGAATGTGCCCTCTTTAATACCCATCACCAGGCTAACCCATCCCCCTACCCTCCTCCCCTCTAGAACCCTCAGTTTCTTTTTCAGAGTCCATCGTCTCATGGTTCGTCTCCCCCTCTGACTTACTCCCCTTCATTCTTCCCCTCCTGCTATCTTCTTCTTTTTCTTTTTTCTTAACATATGTTGCATTATTTGTTTCAGAAGTACAGATCTGTGATTCAACAGTCTTGCACAATTCACAGCGCTCACCATAGCACATACCCTCCCCAATGTCTATCACCCAGGCACCCCATCCCTCCCACCCCCCACCACTCTAGCAACACTCAGTTTGACACTAACCCACTTTTAAAGTCCTAAATTCAGTACAGATAACCTCCCCTGGGCTTCTCTCAGGCCGAGCACCACAAGGGTGCTATCGCTTGGCCGAGTAGATGGTGCTCTGGGCCCCAGCCCTCTTTAAACGACTGTGAGTGGTCAGCTCTGTCAGGCTGGCCTCAGGGTGGGGACCTGGTTGACAGCCCATCTTTGGCTGCTACATGGAGGATGAAGAAGTAGGTAGATACTGGTGTCCGTGCGGAAATGTAAAAGTATGCAGTTCCCTTGAGCTGAGCCCCGGGCTCTAGACAGTCGCCCTGCTGCCAGTCCGCGTCTACACCTGCTGTCTTCCTGGAGCGCACTCTTTCCTCTCCCCTCAGAGGCAGCGGGCCTTTCGGGCCTTTCGGGCCTTTAGGACTTGTCTGGAGGGCTGGCTCATTAGTACTCAGGTGAAAGTTGCTTTCAATACAATATGTTCTTACGTGAATAATGCTACTTCTAAGGCGCTAGTGGCTCACTCGCTAAAAAACGACTGAAGAGCTAGTCAGAGCCTTCATCATTCACAGAACAGGGAAGAGCTTTCTTTGTGTCAGTTGGTAAAACTCTTGGTATCTGCAGGAATGACTAGAATACTCCAGTTAGCCATTCCCCTGTGGAAGCAGATGATAAGCAAACACTGTGGTGGCTGTTGTGTTTTTTCTGGTTTGTATTTTAAAGACTCAACCCCTAGTAGATCACAGTTGGTGAGTATGATAGATGTTTTAACAGGTAGGTTGGCCTATATATCCTCTTTACTTTTGTTTTTAAGGAGAATATGTTTCACTATCCAAGCTCCAAGATGCCAGGGTTCCATGTTGACTTTAGCAAAAAATTTGGCAATGGGGACCTTGACACTAATCTCCCTACCTCTGTTCTCACAACAGGTTCCAGGAGAAGGGGAATCTGGAAGTCCTACTTTTTACCATCCAGTCCCGGATGAGAGCCAACAATCAGAAAGTGTATACCCCTCACGACGGGAAGCTAGTGTCTGACATCAACCGGGTACAGCAGTGTTTTCCATTATACGTAGCCAGCGGGTTGGCTGAGTTTCTGACAAGGGTGCAGGGAATGGTTACTGGACAGGGTTAAACCAAGCCACTTTCTGTGGTGGTATTAACTAACTACACATGCTGGCTATTTGGGGGTACCCTCTGAACCTAGTTCTGAGAGGTCTGACGCCAGCCACTGTCCATTAGCTCAGCCCCTTGCTCAGATGCCCGGAGTCCATTTTGAGAGCCAGTTTTATAGCTTAGTCTCTATACATTCTCTATACATTCTTGAGTTTTTCTGACTATGGAATGAATATTAACTGCTTATGACAGAAGGGAAATGCCTTCCGATATTTCAGAGATTTGGAGGCTTAGCACCACTTGGACATTCTAACAGAATGAAAGTAGCCGTTGAGTCAGTGAGAATGTACTGAACACCCACAGAGACAAGTAACATTTGGCCAAGAGTCTAAGGCAGGTTTAGGGGAGGAGGGAACTGGGGGCGGTGGTCAGGACCAGTGCTTCCCAAATCTTTGGTGGCCAAAAGATTTACTGAACTTTAGGCTCTGCCTAGATTTCTGAAATCACTCAGTGTTGGGTGAAAGAGATGGAACCCCCAAACCCACAGGCATTCCCCTGTGCCCCAAGAATTCCCCTCTGCCCCCCACACAGGCCTGGGAAAGCCTGGAGGAGGCTGAGTATCAGCGGGAGCTGGCCCTGAGAAATGAGCTCATTCGGCAAGAGAAGCTGGAGCAGGTAGCCCGGCGCTTTGACCGAAAGGCCGCCATGAGAGAGACGTGGCTCAATGAAAACCAGCGCCTCGTGGCTCAGGTAGTAGGAGATACGCTGGGCATGGCAGGAGGCAGAAGCCTTTCAGAGCCCCTGGCAGGCAACTGGGCTGCAGACCCCGCTGGTCTCTCGGTGGCAGCAGGATAAGCCTCTCCACAGGCCTTGCAGACCTGCTCCCCAGGACTGGGTAGATTCGGATTCACATTTGAGGAAGAACTCTCCGTGGATTCTGGCCTCTAGGGCCACGTCAGATTTCACTAGCTAAAAATTGACCCCGGGGCTGATGCTCCATAAGAGCATCTATTGCTTCCCACTTAGAGTTTGGACTCAAATGTCCAGGCGGGGCAAAGCCAGTGTTCTGCGAGGATTGGAGAGTGTGCATGCAGACTCGATGGCGTGGGGGTGAGCCTTCTGTTTACAGCTGTGGGGCTCCTGAGTGAGGAGCAGCACCTTCCTGCCCACAGTCGGGCAGGTCCCTCCCAGGCAGGGTGGCGGGCACCAGCAGGCCGCAGAAGGGCGCTGGGAGTGATTCACACACAGCTCACCCACACGTGTGGCACAAGGAATAACATTATGAGCTGCTTTTAAAGACAGCAGATCGGGCCTTGGGACTGGGCTTTCCCAGCGAGCGGTGGTTCTGAAGCGACCGCCGTTTCTCTGTGTTTAAGGGGACTAGCCGGGGCGGCCTGACTAAGTGGCCCGCTTTTCTCCCTGTGGGCCAGGATAACTTTGGGTATGACCTGGCAGCCGTGGAGGCCGCCAAAAAGAAGCACGAGGCCATTGAGACCGACACAGCCGCTTACGAGGAGCGGGTGAAGGCCCTGGAGGACCTGGCCCAGGAGCTGGAACAGGAGAATTACCATGACCAGAAGCGCATCACTGCCCGCAAGGACAACATCCTGCGCCTGTGGAGCTACCTGCAGGAGCTGCTGAGGTCCCGGCGCCAGAGGCTCGAGATGACGCTGGCTCTGCAGAAACTCTTCCAGGACATGCTGCACAGCATCGACTGGATGGACGAGATCAAGGTGAGCCCCTGGAGGCTGCCCATCCCCCACGTGCCCCCCCCCCCCGGCCCACCTCGGTGCAGGCGGTGCCGTTAGCTCCACTTCCTTAGATGCCTCCCAGCCAAGCACGACCCTGAGCCAGAATGGAGATACTGAGGCAGTATGGTGCCTGGCTGCTCCACCTGCTTGGTTCCCTCTGCTCCAGACAAGTCACCAGCCCGGGTCCTCTGTATTTCGGGTGATCAAGACATCTTAGGTTCACAGTAGCACAGGCGCCAACCTACAGGACCTAGACATGATAGGAATCAGGAGCCGGGAAAATCAGGCTCTGAGTAATCACAGTTTGAGTCTGGTTAGAATCCAGACCTCCCAGCCACAGGGGCAACCAAGAAATCTGAATCTCCTCTCCCTCTACTGCAGTGGGTCTCATCGAAGATGCCCAGCAGACCGACCACGGAGCTTTCTAAAAATGCACATGCCCAGGCCCCAAACCTTGAGACAGATGCAGGAGGTCGAGTGTGAGGCTTGAGCTTCTGAAAAACGTTCCATGCCTACTCTGCAAGGCACTCCCAGCAGGAAGTCCTGCTCTATAGCTCCCATGCTGAGCAGCGACCATTTTCCAGCTGCGTCTGACTCCCTGGCCCAGATACGATGGACACTCCCTTTGGAGGGGTCTCTTCTCCTAGCAGGTATGTCTTCAGCTCTCCTCGTTCCCTCTACCTGGTCTTTCCTCTTTGCCAGGCTCACCTCTTGTCTGCTGAGTTCGGGAAGCACTTGTTGGAGGTCGAGGACTTGCTACAGAAGCACAAGCTGATGGAGGCTGACATTGCCATCCAAGGGGACAAAGTGAAGGCCATCACCGCAGCCACGCTGCGGTTCACCGAGGAGAAAGGTGAGGCCACAGCTGTCTCTCCATCCTCTGGCTCAGCGTTCTAGCACCCCAGCTTGGATAAGTCTCCTAGCTTTAGAATTCCACTTCTTCCATCAACTGATGGTACAAGAAAGAAGCTTGAAGGATAGTAGAATTCTCCAGAGACCAGGCAGCTGCTTGGGTAATCTATACTCAGAAGGTGTCTATAAGCACCAATAACACATCATCTGCCTTTCATTCACTCTGCTAGGTCAAGATACAACAGAGACAATTTAGGTTTCTAGCTTTGGGACTTTTTTTAAAAAATAAAGTTTTATTTATTTAAGTAATCTCTACACCCAACATGGGGCTCAAACTCATGACCTGGAGATCAAGAGTCCCACACTCTTCCAATTGAGCCAGCCAGGCACCTCTCTAGCTTTGGGTCTTAAATAAAAGACCCTGTTGCCTCCTTGAAGAGTCATCTTGAAATTTGTGTCTGGGCCTTTTTATTTTATTTTAAGATTAATTTATTTATTTGAGAGAGAGGGAGAGAGGAGGAACAGAGGGAGAGGGAAAGAGTTTTAAGCAGACTTTGTGTAGAGCACATAGCCCGACATGGGGCTCAATCTCGCGACCCTGAGCTGAAACCAAGAGTCGGATGCTTAACCAGCTGTGCCACCGAGGCGCCCTGGTGTCTGGGCCTTTTAAAAAAATAATTTCTTGTTGTGCATTTCTTCTGAGAGCTGACCCAACTTATTCATGAAGTGTTAGTGGTAATGAATTATAAAGAACCTGACCTGCCCTCTGAGCAACTGCCCCCCCCAAATGCAATCCCAAAGCCCCCCTAGGATGGCAGGTTCTAGATCATGTGGTTCTAGCCTGGCAACTGACCTGAAGCTTGCCCACAAGCAAAGCCCTTACCTCTTTTGTCTTCCCTTCTTTCATTCCTCCCAGGATACCAGCCTTGTGACCCCCAGGTTATCCAGGACCGGGTCAGCCACCTGGAGCAGTGCTTTGAGGAGCTGAGCAACATGGCAGCTGGGCGGAAGGCGCAGCTGGAGCAGTCTAAGCGGCTCTGGAAGTTCTTCTGGGAGATGGATGAGGCCGAGAGCTGGATCAAGGAGAAGGAGCAGATCTACTCTTCCCTGGACTATGGCAAAGACCTGACGAGCGTGCTCATCTTACAGCGCAAGCACAAGGCCTTTGAAGATGAGCTCCGAGGGCTGGACACCCACCTGGAGCAGATCTTCCAGGAGGCAGAGGGCATGGTCGCACGTAAGCAGTTTGGGCACCCGCAGATTGAGGCCCGAATCAAGGAGGTGTCCGCCCAGTGGGACCAGCTGAAGGAGCTGGCTGCCTTTCGCAGGAAGAACCTCCAGGACGCTGAGAACTTCTTCCAGTTCCAGGGTGATGCTGACGACCTGAAGGCCTGGCTGCAAGACGCCCACCGGCTGCTCTCAGGCGAAGACGTGGGTCAGGATGAGGGGGCCACGCGGGCCCTGGGGAAGAAGCACAAGGACTTCCTGGCGGAGCTGGAGGAGAGCCGCGGGGTGATGGATCATCTGGAACAGCAGGCCCAGGGCTTCCCCCAAGAGTTTCGGGATTCCCCAGATGTGACCAACCGGCTGCAGGCCCTCCGGGAGCTCTACCAGCAGGTGGTGGCCCAGGCAGACCTGCGTCGGCAGAGGCTACAGGATGCCCTGGACCTGTACACGGTGTTCGGGGAGACAGACGCCTGTGAGCTGTGGATGGGGGAGAAGGAGAAGTGGCTAGCCCAGATGGAGATCCCAGACACACTGGAGGACCTGGAGGTGGCACAGCACAGGTCAGAGGCTGACTTTGTCTTCCTCCCCTCCCTCCGCTATGGCCTGCACTCCACCCCCGCCGAGGGGGGGAGACCACCTCTAGATCAGCAAGGTCCTCTTTGAGAGGTGATGGGATGCCCTTTATGGCTGAGGCCATACACCAGAGCCATGGGTTTCAATCAGGCTCTGTGGTTTTGGGTCCTTTACCCTGTGGGGCCTTCCTTAAAATAAGAAGGGGACCTTTCTAGTCCAGTTATTCAATTCCTTCTCAGCCACAGTGGTCTTTGTTCAAATGAATTGTAGACAGAACCCCTGACATAGAACACAGAGGAAAGCAGAACCGTTTAGTGAAGTAGGAGGTAAGAAGTCAGAACCCCACCAGCTCTAGCTTTCCATGGCAGCCCCTCAGCCACAGAACCCTGAAGGACCCCAGGGACCAGTTTGCAAAGCCCCGGGCTACAAGGCCCGCTCCTTTCCGGTACTCTGATTGCATCCATGCTCGGGCATGGGGGAGCGTGCCCCTCACTCCCGTGGCCCTCTTAAGTACAGACCTAGAGAGTTGAGGAGCATGAGAGGTCACCCCCTAGAGCATGCTGAGGTGGGCCCAGGCTGCCGGAGGGAAGGGTCCACTTTCAGAACTATACCCCAGACCCCGGCAGCGTCCTCTTCTCCTAGCCAGGGACAGAGCACCTGGCTGGGCAGGGGACCCTTCAGGGCAAGGTCAAGGCAGTGGAATTAGGGCCCAAGGGCAGCAGCTATGGCTGTGGAGGTATGGCGGGTGTTCCCTGAGGTGATCAACACCTCCCTCCCCCCAGACACACCTCTTCGTTCCCTTGTGCCTTTCCATTGAGCCAGTAGCCCATGGAATAAGCAACCAGCTCTTTACTAGCCTCGTCCAAGAAATGCTAAACCATGAAACTGGACCCATGAACCAGAAAATAGGGTATGTCAGCATATCTTTTTCCTTTCTGCCCCCTTCCCCAGTCACATGTATTCTGGAGATGGAAGGAGAAAGCAAGAGCTCCAGCGTTCCAGAGACTGGGCAGTAGGCGAAGTGCCCATGCTTCCTCCCCAGTCCTCTTCTCTGTCCATATCAGGTTTGACGTCCTGGACCAGGAGATGAAGACCTTGATGACGCAGATTGACGGTGTGAACCTCGCTGCCAATAGCCTGGTAGACAGCGGCCACCCTCGCAGTGGGGAAGTGAAACAGTACCAGGACCACCTGAATGACAGGTGGGGCGTGGGTAGGGCTGGGGGCTGAGGGCGCCTTCTCTTGACAACTAACAACCCCTGGGGTATGGCCCTGACATCAGGATGTCTGCTGTGCACTGCCAGCTTGTCCTTTCCGAGTTCCTGTGTTTCTCAGCCTGTCTCCTTCTGACTCTGGAGCACTAGCAGCAAGGTGGAAGGCCCTGCGTGGTGAACAGAGTGGTGAATGCTGCCGGGCTTGGGCTTGCGGGGGGGGTGGGGGGTGGGGAGGCATCTCCTGGGGGATGGAGGAGCTGCTCTGAGTGCACATGTAGTTAGAATCAGGCCATATGCTACTCAGGCCACATTTCCCCAGACATTCGTAGGCCGGGAAAATTGCTTTCTGAGAGCTCTTAAGTACTGTCCATAAAAGAAAGCTCTAGCCTGTGCCAAAATGCAGCATCGATAATGAGGCTGGCTTGAATGCAGAGGAGAATTAGCAGGAAGCCTTGAGCACTCTTTGTGGCTGGAACAAAAAACAGGCCCTGAGGAGCCTTTGAGAGGGGGTGCTTTCAGTCCGAGGTGTAATTGCCATGAGTTCCTCAAGGATCTCTGAGGACAGCACACACTTCTGTGTTCCTGTTTGTTACCCGGGGCCCCGTGCACACAACACCATGTGTTCACCAGCTCCCTGCTGCCCCAGCTCCTTTCCCCACACTTGTGTCTGAGCCTTGCTCCACCTGAAGCGATCTGGGAGGTGGAGTTAGGCAAGACCCCCTTGTGTGGGGGGAAGAAAGGGGGGTCAGCACAGTAGGGACTCTGATGGGGGCCCAGCAGGAGGCAAGAGGGTGATAAGGATACTTCAGAGCCACTAGAATGGGGCTGATGATCTCAGCATTCAGAGATGGGTACTGTAGTTCAGGAGATTCCTCTGTAATCTGAGGTTTATGCAGAAGGGGAAGATGCCTCTTTGTTCTTCTTTAGGCTTGGAGGTAATGGGGGGGCAGTATGTTGTGTGTGTGTGTGAGTGTGCATGTGGGTGTGTGCATGTGCAAGACAGACAGGAAAAACTTGGTAGCTATGTGTCTGTTGCCTTAATGAGCTATAGTCAGAGAATGGTCTTTACAGATCCCTAAGCCTTGTACCATCCTAAGTGAAATACATCAAGGCACTTGCCATCCTTAGGTGAGAGAGAACCAGGGGCATGAAATGGTAAGATGGTTTTCCTGAGAGCTGAAACGTCCCTGAGAAGTCATCGAGTCCAGCCAAATACCCCCAGACTGCTGTGTCTCATACAAACACTTCCAGGGGTGGGGAGCTCACCTCTTCACGGTGCAGCCCGTCCCATATGGAGGAAACTCCTTTTGGTTAGAAGATTTGACCTCCTATTGAATGGAAATCTCCCTCCTTGCAATTTGCACACATTGGTTCTGGCCCTGCCCTTGAGAGAGAAAAAAACTGATTCTGATTCTTCCTCCATGTGATAGCTCTTCAAATTTTTTTTAGAACAACAATCATTCTTCACCTTTGCCCAAAGTCCTGCCTCCGAGCCTCCACTGTTCTCTCCCCCAGACCCCTCCTTTGGGCCATTCAGGTTCCTCTTTCTCCCTGTGTCCAAGATGAAAAACTTTCTTTCCCTCCTTTGTTCTGGTTTAGAGCTTTATATTCTACCTTGTATTATAGTGACTTCTATTCTGAAGAACTTCCCTACTAGACTATAAGCAAATGAAAAGTAATATCTTTATCTACTGCCCACAGTGCTTTGAGCACCAAGCACATAATTGTCTGAGCTTTCCTCTGTTTGGAATATTCTTTTCCCAGATAGCCACATGACTACTCCCTTACATTATTCAGATCTCAGCTCACATGTCAGCTTATTGGAGCAGCCTTCACTGAGCCCGTTGAAAACATCACTGCCTCCTTCCCACCCAGCCACTGCGCCTCTATCTCGTTACCTTGCTTTATTTTTTTCATTGCACTTGTCACCACTTGGTTGAATTATGGACTTATTTATTTGTCTCTACCCACTCAAATGAGAGCAAGCACTTTGCTTTGTTCGTTGCTACCTCCCTAGAGCCTAGAACAGTGCCTGGCACAGGCACGTGATAGTTGCATGATAAATTGCTTAGTGAATTGAATGAACAGGGACAAGACTGAAATATCTTCTGCCAAGCTTGGCACGTACGAGTCATTCAAACACTTACTGAATAAGTGATTACCTTCCACAGTATGCATTCCAGTTGACCAACATTTTTTTTTTTTTTTTTTTTTTTTAATAATCTTGGGCCCAGGACCAAACCTGAGGTTCTGGCATGGCCTGGTCAGGGCTGACTGGAGTGGTTCTCTCAACTTCTTTTATCTTGGAGACAGTGCAGCAGGGGGACCAGACTTAATTCCCAGTCCGTCCTCTCTGTAGCCTCTGCTGGTGGCTGCAGTGAGGCCACACCAGGAAAGACCTAGAAGGGTGAGATACTCAGGGCCCCATCCTTAAATAGATCACTACAGTGGCAGAGAGGTGCTCATTGAGATCCCGCTCAGATGGCCACCACGAAACCTGCCCCCATCACCCTTGTCACCCTCACAGCTCCCTTAATCCTCTCTGCCTGGTGTGTGCTATATACATAGCACTTTATACTACAGCTAGTTTGTGAGCTTGTCTTAATTTCTCTCTAAATCATACACTCCATAAGGCAAAGTCTAGCTATGACTATATCCTCCCAACAGCTAACATAATGCTTATACCCTGTGGGTGTTCAGGAAAGATGGGCTCAGCAAATGAGCAGTCAGCACACTCTTAGGTGCTTACATGTTACTTACATATTACATGTCACTTGGAATGAGTCAGCTTGGATCCAAGGAAAGGGTCCCTTGTGGTCTCGGCCCAGGCTGAGGCACAGCTCTTTAGGAGAGGCTGATTGGGAGCTGCCGACCGACCCCAGACCCCAGAGCATGTGCCAGACCTTTGCATATTTCCCATTCCCATGCCAGCACTGCATCTGAAGGTTAAGGTTATGCTATCCATTTCAGGTATAACCCCAGCTTCTCCCTTCCCCCTCCTCCTCCTCCTCCTTCGTAAGGCCTCTTTTCCTTTAGAGCCAAGGTGACGTTTTTAGGCCTTGGGTACTTTGAACATGGTCGTGGGCATTCTTATGGTTCTTCTGGGGCCACTGGGACCCTATGTCCTGAAATTGTCTTTAAGTCGATAAATGTAAGCTTTCTAATTATTTCCAGCATTTCAAAAAATCTGGGCAAGTTTTATGTTTGCCCAAAATTTGACTACATACAGAGCCAAGCTAAGAGTCATTTTCGTTTCTTTACTCATGTTTGGAATCACATCACCGCTCGCCCCCGGCTGATGGAAAGATCTGACTGGCAGTTTATATTGTCTTGGGTAAAATTGGATAAATGAATTTTACTCATCACAGTGTGTTGGGTAGATGATTTTTTTGAGGGTGCAAGATCTATGGGGAGAGACTCTGGTGGGAATCTGTATAGGAGGTCCTGTGGGAAGTGTCATGAAAGAGGGCGTCTCTGTGTCCCCCTTGGCAGGTGGCAGGCATTCCAGACCATAGTGTCAGACCGGCGGGAGGCAGTGAACTCAGCCCTCCGGGTGCGTAACTACTGCGTGGACTGTGAAGAGACTAGCAGGTGGATCGAGGACAAGATGCAGGTGGTGCAGACCACAAAGGAACTAGGCCAGGACCTGGCAGGCATCATTGCCATCCAGCGGAAGCTCTCGGGGCTGGAGCGCGACGTGGCCGCCATCCGGGACCGGGTGGGTGCCCTGGAGCGTGAGTCGCAGCAGCTGATGGCCTCACACCCCGAGCAGGGAGAGGACATCGGCCAGCGGCAGGCATGTGTGGAGAAGCTGTGGCAGGAGTTGCAGGAAGCCCTGCTGGAGCAGGAAGCCTCGCTGGGGGAAGCCAGCCAGCTCCAGGCCTTCCTGCAGAATCTGGATGACTTCCAGGCCTGGCTGTCCATGGCCCAGAAGGCCGTGGCCTCCGAGGACATGCCTGAGTCCCTGCCAGAGGCCGAGCAGCTCCTACAGCAGCACGTGGCCATCAAAGACGACATTGACAGGCACCAAGAGATCTTCCAGAATGTCAAGGTATCCGGGGAGAATGTGATCCGTGATCAAACGGACCCCGAGTACCTGCTCCTGGGCCAGAGGCTCGAGGGCCTGGATGCTGGCTGGGATGCCCTGTGCCGGATGTGGGAGAGCCGCAACCACTCCCTTGCCCAGTGCCTCGGCTTCCGGGAGTTCCAGAGAGATGCCAAGCAAGCTGAAGCCATCCTCAGCAATCAGGTAGGGAGAGGGCTGGGGGGTGGGGGGTGTTGTCTCTTAGGGCAATAGCACTGGTGAATCCATGAATGTCCCCAGAGACCAAATTCTACCTTTTTTTAAAATCTAAATAGTTAACATACAATGCAATATTGGTTTCAGGAGTAGAATTCAGTGATTCATCACTTACATACAACACCCGGTGCTCATCAGAGCAAGTGCTCTCTTTCATCCCATCATCCATCTAGCCCATCCCCCATCCCCCTTCCTCCATCAACCCTCAGTTTGTTCTTATCGGTAAGAGTCTCTTATGGCTTGTTTCCCTCTCTCCTTTTTTTCTTTTCCCCCTTCCCATACATTCATCTGTTTTCTCTCTTAAATTCCACATATGAGTGAGATCTTATGGTATTTGTCTTTCTCTGACTGACTTATTTTGCTTAACATAATACCCTCTAGATCTATCCACATTGTTACAAATGGCTAGATTTCACTGTTGTTGATGGCTGAGTAATATTCCATTATGTATATATACATATCACATCTTCTTTATCCATTCATCTGTCGATGGACATCTGGGTTCTTTCCATAGTTTGGCTATTGTGGACATTGCTGCTGTAAACATTGGGGTGCATGTACCCTTCAAACCTGTATTTTTGTATCCTTTGTGTAAATACCTAGTAATGCAATTGCTGGATCATAGGGTAGTTCTATTTTTAACTTTGTGAGGAACCTCCAAACTGTTCTTCAGAGTGGCTGCACCAGCTTGCATTCCCACCAACAGTGTAGGAGGGTTCCCCTTGCTCCTCAAATTCTACATTCTGGGGACTCTCTCTAGCCATGAATTGGGGGGAAATCCTCTTTCTTCCTTACCACATGCCTTTTCCAGCCCTGTTTCCTAAACTATGCCTTGTTCTTGGGTCAGTTACAGGCTGGAAAGGTGAATTTTCCCCTGAGCCATTACCCTTCCATATGGCTTTAGGCTCACTGTTAATTGGGTACCTCTGGGGTGGGGATGGGGGCAAGGCCTAGGGTGCCTCTTTCTTGTGCAGCCCCAGGGAGCACCAGTCATGCTGTAGCCTAGATGGCTGTACGGGGTGCTTCTGCTTGGCAGGTGCCCTCATTGCCTTCCCAGCTTGTCTTCATGCCTTGTCTGGAAATTCGCTTCAACAGGAGTATACTCTGGCTCACTTGGAGCCCCCAGACTCCCTAGAAGCTGCAGAGGTGGGGATCCGGAAGTTTGAGGATTTCTTGGTGTCTGTGGAGAACAACCAGGAAAAGGTCTTGAGTCCTGTGGACTCCGGAAACAAGCTGATAGCTGAAGAAAACCTCTACTCAGACAAGATCCTGGAGAAGGTGCAGCTGATCGAGGACAGGTACTCTCCGCCCCCAAGGTCACGGGGCCAGACCCAGGTAGGGCTGGTGGTGTTGTTCAAGGTCCCCGGGCATAGCCCTGTGGTGATGACAGCTTCCGGCTTCCCTTCCAGGCACAGGAAAAACAAAGAGAAGGCTGAGGAAACTTCCATCATTCTGAAAGACAACTTGGAGCTCCAGCACTTCCTCCAGAACTGCCAGGAGGTGAGGCTCCAGCAAGGCAGGACACTTTGCAGGAGGTTCCCTTCTAGGAGCAAAGTGGCCTAGAGGTAGAAAGTTCACGGGTATGGGGGGAACACCTGGCTGGCTCAGGTAGAGGAGTGTGCAGCTCTTGACCTCGGGATCATGGGTTTGAGCACTGTGTTGGGTGTAGAGATTACTAAAAAAATAAGGAAAGGGAAGGGAAAGGGAAAGGGAGGGAACGCAAGTCCACAGAGATCCTTTCTAAGTTGGGAGTCTGGAATTTCATGAGGGGAACTCTGGGTATTTGATAGCTTAGGTCATCCTCTAGAATCTTTGGTTCTATTATTTTTTCCCCCAAATCTACAAATTTTAATTTGCCTACTCCAGGGCAGGGTTTCCCAAAGAGTGGCCTGAGGGCTATCTATATAAAGAGTCCCCTAGGGCCCTGATCAAGGCTGGCCTCAAGGACATACCGCCTGTGCATTCATCTAGGGCCCCATGCTTGGTTTAATGCTCTGTGGTTGCCATCTTGAAATTCTTAATAATTTTGAGCATTTCCATTTTACGCTGGGCCCTGCACATTATGGAGCCAGTCCTGGCCCTTGTTAAATGCAAAGTCCTGGGCCCCACTCAGGCCCAGAGGAATCAGAACCTCAAGGGGTGAGTGAGAGAGAGAGAGAGAGAGAGAGCAGCATTTTTGACAAGCCTCCCAGTTGGAGAGCTGACTCAGAAGGTCCTTGTTCAGCCTGGGATGAGTTGTGCGAGGAAGGTTTTTAACCTGCACTCCAGAGTCCCTCCATGAGTGGTACTTCTGTGTGGAATGGTACTTTCTCTGACTTCTTTCTCTCTCCCATCCTCATACCCCTTTCCTCTCGGCCCAAACAACTTTGTTTCCGTCTGCCTCTGCCCTTGGCACCATCCAGGCTTGGTATGCTGCCAGCTCATCTTGGAAACATTGGATGCTCATCAGAGTTCTTCCCTCATTGTTAATTACAGGTTCTGCCCTTGGCTTCTTCCTCAGATAACATTTTCTCTGTGTTTATTAATGATTTCTCACCCTACTGGCAAAGGGTGGATTTATCCATCCATCCAGTAAACACGTCCTACAGTAGGCCAGGCCCTGTCCTAGGTCCTGGAAAAATGGAGAGAAGCATAAATATCCTGGGTGTCACACTGCATACACTTGGCTAGAGTGTATGAGAAGACACTCAGGGGCTGATATGTTAGCCTTGAGACAAGACAGGTGAAGTTGCTTGTGCTGAGAGTTAGGGACCCAGAGTTTTGGAGAGTAGTACTCTGCTGTATTCCTCCCCTGGGCCACCTTCTGCAGCCAGAGGTGGGCAGCAGGTCCTGCCCTGAGCCCCTGGCCAAAGAGGTCCACTCAGAGACTGTTGGACTCCCTCTTTCTGTCCACAGCTCACTCTCTGGATCAATGACAAGCTGCTAACATCTCAGGATGTCTCCTATGACGATGCAAGAAACCTGCAAAACAAGTGGGCAAAGCACCAGGCATTTATGGCAGACCTGGCTTCCCACCAGGGGTGGCTAGACAGCATTGATGCGGTAAGTGAAGCGAGTGGTGAGTGCTGGGGGCTCTCTGCTCAGATGTGCATACCTGAATGGGGCTTCACGCGGGGCATAGGCGCCGTCTGAACCTTACTGGACAGTATAGGACCTGCAAGTGAAAAACTTCTCTAAATAGTAGTCCAACATTCAGAGCTCCTGATTTATCCAGTCCTGTTAGGCCTGGTCAGAAGTGGTGCGTCCTCTAGGGCACCTGAGTCTGGAGACAGTCCAGACACTGAGGATACCTGAGTGAGTGCCTCAGCCTCTGCTGCCAGGACACCGGTTATGTCCGTGTGCCTCCCATTATCCTCACCAGGGCCCCAGCACTGTCCTGCCTGAGGGCAGGGGGTTATGGGAGATGAGCAGAATGGTCCAGGGGACCATGGGCCCTCATCGTTTGGATGGGCAAGACCACCAGGGGGTGGTCATTCACAACCCTCATAGATGGGGGACCCTAAGAGGATGAGCCCTTATAACAGGCCTGCTCCAGCCCCAAGTCAAAGTGTAGCTGGCGTTCAATCTGGGAATCCCTTACCTTTGCTCCTCCCTGCTGTGGCTGCCCAGGAAGAAGCGGGCGTAGGTTCCACATGGGGCAGCATCCATCGTGGTCGAAGATGCAGACTCTGAGCCAGACTGTCTGACTCCTCAACCTCCCTGTGCCTCAGTTTCTTCATCTGAGAAATGAGGATAATAACAGTACCTACCCAAGGGAATTGTGGACATTAAAGCACTTAGCATACATAGTACTTGGCACTTATGGGGCATCCAGTAAATATTGATTGTTATTAGCAACATATATTCCTAGGCCCAAGTCATATCATACTGTATCCACCTGAAGGGGTACATTTATGCAGGTGAAAACCTGGTAAGACAAACCGAGTAACGAAAAGATATCACCATAAGGCTAGTGCACAGCCTCTGGGAAGACAGTCGAGAGAGTGGAGGCCTTTCCAAGCTGGCTGTACCTGGATGGATCTTGAATCTTTTTTTTTTTTAATTAAAAAATAATTGAGCATCAGCTGATCCTGGTCTGCAACAACTCCCCATACTACAGTCTCCCTGAGTCCTTTGCCCCAAACACACCCCTCCCTGTCACACCTTCTCTTGCAAATAACTCCGAGGGTGCAGAGTCTTTCAGTGGAGGCTCACCTGAGTTCTAGGCAGATTCTGTGCCTCCGTGACCTCCCCTCGGTGAACCCCCGGCAACCACACGGAGCAGGGCTGCTCCAAGGCTGCTCAGAGGTGAGCCCTCCCGCTTCCCCACGCAGGAAGGAAAGCAGCTGATGGAGGAGAAGACCCAGTATAGAGCCCTGGTGTCCCAGAGGCTGGAAGACTTGCACCGGCTCTGGGATGAGCTTCAGGCCACCACACAAGAGAGGGCCCAGCACCTCTCAGCTGCCAGGAGCTCCTACCTGCGCTCACAGACTCACGCCGACCTCAACAAGTGGATCAGCGCTATGGAGGACCAGCTGCGGTCTGATGACCCGGGCAAGGACCTGACCAGCGTCAACCGGATGCTGGCTAAGCTGAAGGCAAGTGAGTGGGTTGTAGACTGGGAATGTTGGACGAGGAGATCTGGGGGAGCAAATCTGAAACCTGAAAGTACTCCTTCTGTTCCTCGGAGCTGGGCTTGAGCAAAAATGTCTCCTGGTTCATAACCCATCTCCTACCCCTTTGCAGTGGGTAAGAGAGGGATCCCGGGTTACAAATAAAGCATGCACGAGAAGTGCAGGACGGGCACTTGTGGGAAGGATGAGTGGGGGCATCCAGGGAGACTTCCTGGGGGAGGCTGGGCCTTTAAGGATGGCTAGGATACAGATGATGAAGACGACGTGGGACTAGCCAGGTGCCAAGGCTGTTACTAACAGGCCCTGTCCCCTTGTGTGCCAGCGTGTGGAGGACCAAGTGAACGTGCGGAAGGAGGAGCTGGGGGAGCTGCTTGCCCAGGTGCCCTCACTGGGAGAGGAGGCAGGAGACACAGACATGAGCATCGAGAGGCGGTTCCTGGCCCTCCTGGAACCCCTGGAGAGGCGAAGGAAGCAGCTGGAATCGTCCCGAGCCAAGCTGCAGATCAGCAGGGACTTGGAGGATGAGACAGTGAGTTGGCCTCAGACCTCACCCCCAGCGGCTGAGCCGGCGGCTGCCGTCGCGATGACTGGCTGCCGCCCAGGGCGGTTCTTAGCACATGTCTGGTCCTCTCACCTCCTGATCGCAGAGCTGTTGTGATGATTACATTAAATATGAACGTGAAGCCAGTGCTTTTTGGACGGTAACTCAGTCACACACTTTGGGACAGACAGACTTGGGTTCGAGATCCACCTCTATTACCTTCCCCTTGTATGACCAGAAGCAAGTTATTTGGAACCTCGATTCAAAATATCCATGTGTCCCCATCTGTAACATGGGGAGAGCTCTGTCTGACCCGGGGTGAGTGCTTGGAAGAGGGTGGCCACGACTGTCATCAGCTTACTCCTGCCTTCTGGTCTCTATAGCTCTGGGTGGAAGAGAGGCTGCCTCTGGCCCAGTCAGCCGACTATGGCACGAATCTGCAAACTGTGCAGCTGTTAATGAAGAAGAATCAGGTGAGTCCTGCTTCACCTGGTTAGTCCCCCCACCCGCCCCCTCCCTGCCCCTGCCCTGCACAGGGTGGAATGCCCAGCCCTGATCTGCAGAAGGCCAGCACCAGCAGATTATTGTTCTTGTTGGTAGCTGTTGGGCCCCCAGATCCCATAAAAAAAGCAGCTTTGGTGATGGCAGAGAGAATTATGGGAAGCCCATGGCAGGGCCAGTGCTGGTAGGGGGGTGTCCAGATGCTTTGGGATTTGGAGCCATTCAGACCCATCGGAGCCTCGGTGAGTGCAGGACCCTGGCCTGGGGTGTCATGTGCTTTATCGCTTCTGTATCCGTGGCCTCCCTGAAAGGAAGCCCATTAGCTCCCGGTTTCTTTCCCAAGACTGATTTGCCCCTCTTCCGGGACTGAGCCTGGCCGGTTGGGTATCCTCAGGGCAGGTAGGCCCCATTTCTTCTGCCACATGAGGATACTCATGGGAAGCCACTGAACTTGGTTCCTGAGCCTATTGGAGCAACATCCATTTGCTATTCTGCTCTTTCTTAAGCCTGATGGGTCATTCCTGAGGCCCCGGTCAGACTCCTGGAAGTGAGCAGATGCAGTACTTCCTCCTGTATCAGTACAAGCATCCTCTCGTATCTTCCAAGAAGGCCAGCTGCATGGGCTCATGGTGCCCTGCTCTTGGGCAGAGAGTCGCTCTTCCTGCCAGCTCTACTCTCCGGGTCAGGAAGTGGGGGCCGCCACAGCCAAGGGCAACGAGAGCCTGCGAACTGGTCCCCGAGAAAAGCGGTGTGTCCCAGCACGCCAGGCAGCATTGCAGCTCCCTGGGGAAGAAAGGCCGTGGCAGCCAGTACTTCCTCAGAATAACAGCAGCTGACATCTGCTCACACAGCCCAGCGACTGGGCACACAGCTGAGTTACGTTCAAAGAGGTGTCCGAAAAGTTCCTCAGACCTTTGCTTCTAGTTGACATGACCTAGTCACAAAGGCTCCAGTGTGCACAGGCAGGGTCTTCGGCTAGAAGGTAGTAGGTAGGGGTTCAATTAATGCCACAACCTGCAGTTACAGGAAGGAGACTGGTAGAAGATAGTATCCTGGGGCCTCAGTTTCTTCAACTGTAAAATGAGCTGACATCAGTCCTTCCAACACCAAAGACTTTGACTCTGTCTGGCCTCGGCGTGATTGCCAAGAGACTCTCAACTCCCCTAGATGAAGGTTGCTATTTCAGGAAAAGGGCGAGACAAGTATCTTTCCCCTAACCAAGAAGGGAAAGATAGTCTCTTGGCAGAGCATGGCTGCCCTAGCCAAGACTACTCTAAGCTAGACGAGCTACAGCTTAAATCTCATTTTATCATTCCCTCTATTGCGGGGGTTCTCAAACTTCGGTATGCGCCAGACTCACCCAGGGGCTTTGTTAAAACACAGTCAACCAGGCTCCATCTCAGGTCTACTGGTTCAAACTCTGGGAATAGAGCCTGATAACTTGCACATCTACCAAGATCCTAGGTGACGCTGATGCTGTTGGTGTGGGATCCCACTTTGAGAACCACTGCTCTAATGGTTATCCGTTGCAACTAGAACCCCTCCTGCAAGGTACCACATGAATGGTTCTTGGGTTGGGCTGCACAGTAGAATCACCTGGAGGGGCTCCCTCCATGACAGTGTAAGCTTTATGAAGGCAGGGGTTTTGTTGATCTTGTTTCCATGTTGTTCCTCGAGCCTAGAACCAGACCCAGGACCTAGGAAATAACTTCATAGCTCTGTGTTGGACACATGATGGAGGAAGAATACATCATGAGGAGGCACAGTGCATGGGGCTTTAGAAAGGAGTTGCTAAAAAAGAGAGAGAGAAATAGCTTTTAGGATCCCTTGCAGAGGTTATAGGATCCCAGGGAAAGAAAGAGGCACACAGAGCTGACACCGTGGGTTGTTTGAATTCAATTGCACGGACCACGAAAAATTGTCAGGATTGAGATTCTGAGTATAAAGGGTAAGAAGGCATTTCAGCAAGTTAGGTGACTTGTGGGTCTCGCTGGTTCTGTGTATTTGCAATGCTGACAGTCCCTGTGTGGCTTGTGTGTACTCTCTCTTGCCCCCGCCCTCCAGATGGTTTTAAAGGCTGTGGGGACATTGTAGAAAGGTAGGAGATGAGGTGTAAGGAGCCGAGAGCCCACATGCAAGAAGCAGCGAGGCCCAGGCCTCTAGGACCCCGAAAGTGAGCCACCCATGGGTAATGGCCCACCAAAGAAAAAGGCGACCCCATCACCAGAGAGAGGAAAACGCCCTCTTCATGACCAAATGCTTAAACAGCAAATAATACAGAGCTCACAAAAAATTTAAGAAAGAGAAATGGGGGGCGGAAAGCCAAAATCCTAAAATCTGAGCAAGGAGCCACCATCAACTCTTGTCTCCCACGGAGCCAGAGGTGCTAAAATAAGATATCAAAGGCCATTTAACAATCATTCTCCGTTCCTCCAACCTGTCCGGCTAAGAAGCAAGCTGTGCTGAGACGCAGGAGGACTAGGGAGCAGGTAGAGCCCCGCTCAAAGGCCAGCGCTGCCACTCACCGGGCACGAGTTACCCCGCCGTGGGCTGCCCCCTCCCGCCCACCCCTCTCCGAAGGCTGCAGGGGGTGAAGGCGGGGGGCACGGATGCGGGGCACTGTGCGGTCAGGGCCAGTTTTTATGGCCACCGCCCGCTCCACACTCACTTCCCAGAGCAGGGACCTGCCAGCGGTGCCGGAGGTGGCCCTGGGTGACCCGCTGCACGCGGGCCCGGCCGCCCTCCCTCACCTCCCAGCCCTTCCCCTCCGGCCACAGACGCTGCAGAATGAGATCCTGGGCCACGCACCGCGGGTGGAGGACGTGCTGCAGAGAGGGCAGCGGCTGGTGGAGGCAGCCGAGATTGACTGCCAGGACATGGAGGAACGCCTGGGGCACCTGCAGGGCTCATGGGACACGCTGCGGGAGGCGGCGGCCGGGAGGCTGCAGCGCCTGCAGGACGCCAGCGAGGCTCAGCAGTACTACCTGGATGCAGGCGAGGCCGAGGCCTGGATCAGCGAGCAGGAGCTCTACATCATCTCCGACGAGACCCCCAAGGTTGGCCGGGGCTGGGAGACAAGGCCAAGAAGAGCTGGGGCGGGGCAGCCAGGGGGCGGTGACACACCGTAAGCCCGCGTATGCAAGGACACCCGCCACAACCTGTGTCCCGCAGCCAGGTGCCCCGTTTGCCGACTTAGATCTGATCGAACCCAAGATTTCCCCACCTTTTTGGTGCCATGGATTCTGTCCTGAGGGGCTGCCAGGAGGGAGGGAGAGATGAGCTGAGGCATCTCTAGGGAAGTTTTCATGGGGTCAGAAGATGGGAGCTGGGCCTGGGAGGGTAGGTATCAGAAAGGAATCAAGAGGAAGGTAGGGTATTGTTCGGGAACGAGTAGCAGGAAGGACTCATGCTCCGTTCTCTTGGGAGGATCCCACAAGGCTGGCTGCACCCACCGCCCCTGCCCCCACCCCAGTCTCAGGCACCTCCTGGAGCAGGTGCCCTGAGAGCCGCTGCCTCCTAGGATGAAGAGGGCGCCATCGTGATGCTGAAGCGGCACTTGAGGCAGCAACACGCACTGGAGGAGTATGGAAGGAACATCAAGCAGCTGGCCACCAGGGCCCAGAGCCTGCTGTCTGCAGGCCACCCTGAGGGGTGCGTGTGCCAGGTCATGGACATCAGGCCGGGGGCCCCGCCAACCAGGATCCCTTCGGGTCCAAATGGGAAAACAGCAACAGTCTTGGGGATAACTGGGTTTGAGTCCACTGCTTTCTGCACTGCTGACTGGCCCAGTTCCATCTCATGCCTTGGTTTTGCATGAGGAACTTCAAACAGGGCCAACTAAGGCCTGGTTTGCAAAAAGATCAGAAAATGGAATAGCGAAACTACCCTCTTGGTGAACCAAGAGCTCCAATCTTTTGAAGAATTAGATTATGCTAAGAGACACTGAAGAGTAACTTTGCTTTTCTCTTTATGGTCCAGAAGGTACTTCAGGATCTCCCAGTGTCTCAGCAAAAATCATTATATAGGCATGAAGGTAGAAAACCTATACCCATCTAGTCGGTGGGTCTGCCTGGGCCATACACAACAGGCTGCTCCCCCAGGCATGGCCCGGTCCTCAGCTGCCTGCAGGGCATCCACGGCTGTGGGGCTTCAGCAGCCACCCAGTATCTCCCAAGGAGCCCCAAGAATTGAGCCCCTGGTACTACAGGCCCCATCCCTGCTCCCTCTGGAGCCGGGCTCACAGTGCTGCTCCATCAGCCTCCTTGGGAGAATAATGGAGTTCCCTTTTGTCTCCCTGGGCTTCCCCGAGTGAGAGATGATGGTGGGAGGCACCCTGTCCGGACGGGACACATTTCGGTCATCCGCTGAGTCATTCTGGTCTAAGGGATGGTTCTTCCCCCCTCCCCTCCCCCAGCACCTCCTGGGAAAAGCTGCTGTCATTTCTCCTAGTTTCCTTTCCCCAGCTCTCCCTGCCACGGGGCTGGGAAGGAGTAGATCGGCCCCTCTGAGCTGGCTGCTCTGTGCTCTCTGACTTCGTCTCTGAGTGCTCTCTGGTTTTGAATTCCAGGGAGCAGATCATCCGACTTCAGGGGCAAGTAGACAAGCAGTACGCAGGGCTGAAGGACATAGCCGAAGAACGCAGGCGGAAGCTGGAGAACATGTTTCACCTGTTCCAGCTGAAGAGGGAGGCAGATGACTTGGAGCAGTGGATTTCAGAAAAGGAGCTTGTGGCCTCTTCCCCTGAGATGGGGCAAGACTTTGACCATGTTACAGTGAGTACTCACGGTGACTGCTCTCTCTGTCCTCCTCGAATGCCAGAGACGCAGGAGCAGTCATGCCAGGCGCACGCAGGCACACAGTGCTGCGTAGAGATGGAGACGCGCGGGCGTGAGCTCAGGCTGCCCTGGGAAGGTGTGGCCCCAGGGGGTGGTGGTTCCCGCCCTGCGAAAGTCTGTGCTGGGGCGAAGACTCCACCCCACCCCTGGGCCCCGGTAACCACCTTTCTGTTTCCCCCACGTCCAGCTGCTCCGGGACAAGTTCCGGGACTTTGCCCGGGAGACGGGGGCGATTGGGCAGGAGCGGGTGGACAACGTGAATGTCATCATTGAGCGGCTCATAGACGCAGGCCACAGCGAAGCCGCCACGATCGCCGAGTGGAAGGATGGGCTGAACGAAATGTGGGCGGACCTGCTGGAGCTCATTGACACGCGCATGCAGCTGCTGGCCGCCTCCTATGACCTGCACCGCTACTTCTACACGGGCACGGAGATCCTGGGCCTCATCGACGAGAAGCTCCGAGAGCTGCCCGAGGACGTGGGGCTGGACGCCAGCACCGCCGAGTCTTTCCACAGGGTGCACACAGCCTTTGAGCGGGAGCTAGACCTGCTGAGCGTGCAGGTGCCTTCTGTCCCCTGCTGCCCGCCCCCCCCACCAGCCGCGCTCCAGCAGGCTCCAGGGACCTACCATCCACCTCTTCCCCAGGGGCCCGGGGGTGTCACCCTCTGCAGTGGACACCAGGAAATTTTGCCTCTTTAGAAAGGCAGCAGCTGGCACTGCTGTGGGCGGGAGCTGTGGCCTCCGGTCGTTCTTTAGCTTCAGAAGTAGTTCTTCAAACTGAAACCTCACAAAAACCCAAGGCATAAGATACCTTAAAATGCTGTCTCTGGTTGTGCAACAGGGTTCCTAGGGAACACATATATGGTGCATTTCTAGCGCCAAGTACTGGTATCGGCATTACATTTAGTCACTGACTCCTCATAGCCACACTCTCAGCTAGGTGCTAACATCATCTGCACTTTATAGATGAGGAAGGCAAGGCACAGAGAGTAAACAAGTTCCCCGGAACGTGTGGACGAACAGTGGAGCCAGGGTTCAGATCCGGTGTCCTAGCGTCCTGGCTCTAGACTCCATGCCCTTGGCCACCGGGCTGTTCAGTCTTTCTACATGGGAGCTGGGGGGACCCCAGGATCTGCTTAGACTCCCTCCTCCCATCAATGGGGTGGCCCCATAGGGCTCCACCGAACTTGGTGTGATGGAAAGGGTGAAGGCAAGGGGACCCCACTTCCGGGGCCTTGGCAGCCTTCCAGAGGCCCAGGAGAGACGGGCTGGCTGTGGAGCCCTGCACCCAGCCAGCGGGGTCCAGGGATAGGATGCCAAGGTGGGTCGGGCCCTCGTTCACTCAGAAGAGGACCTCCTAGGAATTTGTCATCCAGCTGGAGGTGAGGCCTGTTGCGGTCCTTGTGCTTTGGGGGTGCCAGAGCCCCTGAGGGGGGCACAGCCCACTGAAGTCTCAGGAATGAGGCCTCATTGCACTGGGCCCGGCCTCAAACAGGGGATCTGGTAGAGCCCCTTCCTTGACAGGCAGCATGCAGAGTGGTTAAGAACAGGGACTCCAGTCTGCACCCGTCTTCTAGTGTCAGTGACCTCAGGCCACTCACTCAGGCTTGCTGTGCCTCAGTTTCTTCATCTCAAAAACAGGGATCACAATAGTACCTCTTTCATAGGGTGCCTATGAAACATGCCTGGCACGTAGTTACTCTTACTACAGTACTTCTGGGGAGATCAAAGGGCAGAGAGTTCCTTTCACTCCCATATCCTCATCAAAGCCCAAAAGATGGCTTGGGTCCATAGAGGCCAAAATGAGGAGATTTCTCCCCCAGCATTGGTGGGAGGCTGAAGATCTTGCCTTCCAGAAGAGTCCTGGGGAGGGAGACCTGGAGGAGACAGACCTCTTGCCCATCAGAGGCCCAGGACACATCTTTCTAGGGAACAATGTCTGGTTTTGCACAACCACAGGTCCAGCAGTTCCAGGACGTGGCCAGCCGCCTGCAGAAGGCATACGCTGGGGAGAAAGCAGAGACCATCCAGAACAAGGAGCAGGAGGTGTCCGCCGCGTGGCAAGCACTGCTCGACGCCTGTGCCGGCCGCCGCACACAGCTGGTAGACACGGCAGACAAATTCCGCTTCTTCAGCATGGCCCGAGACCTCCTCTCCTGGATGGAGGGCATCATCCGGCAGATCGAGACCCAGGAGAAGCCTAGGTAAGGGGGACATGCTCGGGGCCACCCCGCTCAGCCACTCTGTCCCCAGGCCTGGCAGACCAGGCCGCTGCCCTGGACCTCCTCCTTGGAGGGACTGTCTTGGACTGTGGGGGCACTTGAGGCTGGGTCCAGGCAGAAACGGAACAGCTCGGCTTCTCCTGGGAGGACCGGCCATCACAGAGTAACGGGAGCCTGGAGAGTGGCGAGAAGGACGTCTGCCGTTCAGACGTGACAGCATGGCAGTGACCATAGCTCCAGCTGTCAGGGAGAGCAAGCGCTCCACACATCCAAAGCAGCACGTGTCCGAGCCTGTGCATCTCCCCCCAGTGCTGGGACGAGGCGGCCGTTCTCCCCAAGCTCCAGAAGGAGCTTCTTGTCTGGGTCAGGGGGCTCATGCCCATCTCTGTCCCTCTGCCCTAGAGTGCCCGTCCTGATGGCCAAGACTTTATAGTTTCCATCTTGATTCAGAATGCGACTCACGTAACATACCATTCAGCCATGTAACGTGTCCCATTCAGGGATTTTTGCATGATCACCGGGTACAGCCCTCACTACGGTCTAAATTTAGAAAGCTTTCATCACCCCAGAAAGAAGCCCTGTACCCGTTAGCAGCCATCGCCCCACAATTCCCTGCTCTCCCCAGCCTCTGGCAACCACGAACCTGCTTTCCGTCTCTCTAACTTTGCCTGTGTCCTAGACTCGTCACAGAAGGGGACTCAGACAATACATGGTCCTCTGTGACTGGCTCTTAAGGATGAACCTTTTAAGGTTCGTCCATGTTGTAGTGAGCATCAGAACTTCATTTCTTTTTATTGTCGAATAATATTCCCAGGCTTCTTTTGGGGTCCCTGAACCCCCAACCCATCCCCTGCCCACTGACCAATGGAAGACACTAGGGCATCAGCATTCCCGCTGGGGCTGGGCTGGTAGAGGACCCCCTGGCTGGCCAGAGAGAGAGGAGGAAGTGGGGTCAGACTCCCAGGGAGGTGGGGGGTGGCCCTCTCTGGTCTGGACTTGGCATCAGGCAGGCCAGAGTCACCCCAAGCTTCCTTCTTCCCCAAACTCCCTCCCCAACCCATGGTCCCCCCACCCCCCAGGGACGTCTCCTCGGTGGAGCTGCTCATGAAGTATCACCAGGGCATCAAGGCAGAGATCGACACCCGGAGCAAGAACTTTAGTGCCTGCCTGGAGCTGGGAGAGTCCCTGCTGGAGAGACAGCACCAGGCCTCGGAGGAGGTGAGAGGACAGTGGGGTGAAGAGGAGCCCCTCCCTGTCCTTGCCTGCATTCCTGCCGGACCAGACGGCTTCCTGGGAGGGAGCCCTGGGCCATGGTTTCTCTGAGGAGACTTTCTTTCACTCATGGAGCATCAGGGCTGTGTGCAGGCCCAGGGACAAGAGCCCCAGCAACCCCACCCAAGGCTGACAGCTTAGTAGGGGAGAGCAGGCTCATAACCCACCTAACCACCCACATGTGTGCATGCTTTGGCGTTGGCAACACCCATTTCCTAGGAGAGGCACACGTGCCTCAGAGAGGTTAAGTAACTTGCCCAAGATTGCACAGCTGGCAAGGGGAACGGCCAAGACTTGAAGCGAGGTCCTTGTGACCAAACCCAGCATGCTTTGCAGGACCCATTTGCACACCCCTTCAGACAAGAGGAAGGTTTACCAAAAGCCTGAGCTATTCTCCCTTCCTTCCCACAGATTAGGGAGAAACTGAAGCAGGTGCTATCTAGGAGGAAGGAGATGGCTGAGAAGTGGGAGGACCGCCAGGAACAGCTCCGCATGTGTGAGTGCACCTGCGACCCAGACCTTGGGAAGGGGGGCAGACTCCTGCTGAGGTGGGCACAGGGGAGAGGTGATTTTCACTGCCCAGAGAAGAGCCCCCAGAATGCTACCCACCAGCAAGGTTCTGGGGCCAAGGGCCTCGGGGGTCCGCACAGAAGAGCCGCACGGACACACTGCTGGCAGCCCACCTCTGACCAGCCAGCATGCTGTCTCCCCGCCTGCCCTCTGCCCCACCTGGGTCCAGGCAGAACCTGAGTGGCTCGGCTTCTACTGGGAGGACACCGCCGCCTTGTGCCAGGCTGGTGTCCCTGTAGCCTGGGGAGGGGTCAGCTTAAGGCTCTTGCGCCTCCCACATGTTTGATCTGAGGCATGTCAGGCACAGACAGAGCTCTGTCTCCTGCAGCTGGAGACTAAGGAGAGGTGGAAAATCCACCACTCCTGGCTACACACGAGCCAGGAAGGCCTGACGGCCCCATGGTTGCTTGTGCACGATTATGTAAGGCAGCCAGGGGCTGGGAAGAGGGCGTTCAAGGCAAACGGCTGCTCCTCAAAAGGAGACATCTGAATTATATTTTGTTTTCAAACTAGTGTTCTAATTCATGTGTTTTTCCAATATACCTATGGGTAGGGATGAGAAAACCCTCCCCCCATATGGCGTGGGATGGAGTGGTCTCAGGCAGCAGGGCACCGCTGAACAGGGTGTCCACGTGGTTCAGGGACCCTGTGCAGGCCTCCTGCCTGACCGCCAGCTCCTTGTCTGCGGAGTGGCCCACTGCTGAGTGCTAACAGGCCCTTGGGCCCTGTGGGTGGGTCTGTGGCTTGTTCCCCATGGCAGTACTGGAAGTGTGCCAGTTCTCGAGGGATGCCTCTGTGGCCGAAGCATGGTTGATCGCCCAGGAGCCCTACCTGGCCAGCCGGGACTTTGGACACACGGTGGATGGTGTGGAGAAGCTTATCAAGAGGCATGAGGCTTTTGAGAAATCCACAGCCACCTGGGCTGAGCGCTTCGCCGCCCTGGAGAAGCCCACCACGGTGAGCTGGGAACGGGCACTGGGAGGCCCCACAGCTGCGCCTCGGGTGGGGGATCTCAAGTCAAGAACTCTGAGCCTGTCATTAGGCACCCACGGACAGTGTAAAAGTCTTGGTGAGGGGCAGAGTGGGAAGGAAATAGGAGACATAGAAAGTACTTCTGAATTCCAAAAACAAAGGGGTGATTTCTAAAAGAATAAACACCAGGTATGTGGGGAGGCATCTTTAGGGAAAGCTGGTCTAACAGCAAGCAGGCTCTTCTCTGTGGCTACCCTGATACCCTGGGCCTTTCCTTCCCCTTAGCTTGAGCTAAAAGAACGCCAGACCCCAGAGAGACCCGAGGAGGAGAGTGGGTAAGTGTGGGGAGGGCCAGGCGGTGGATTTAGCAGGAACGTTCTGGGAGGATGGGTGGGAAGGGGAGGGAAGGTACTTTTCATCAGAAACAGGCCCCCTGACGTCTTAATAATACCTCTCACACCTGGGCCACTAGCCAGAGAAATCTGAAGTGTCTGCAGCCTAAAGGCGGAGAAGAGCTTTTGTTTCCCCCAAAACACGGGTGGCCTGAAGGCCTGGTACAGGCAGAAGCGCCCCCCCCCCCCCCCCCCCGCCCCGTTCTGGGAGCCACCTGAACACGTGCCCCAGAGGCCATTCTGCCTCCAACCACGTCCATTTCTGAAGGGTCTGCCGTACGTCCCGGATTAAGCAGTTCCTTGCTAAGTGCCTGTCGCCAGGAGGCCCGGACCGGGAGAGAGTTGACATGTTCCTGGTGGGGAGAGTGGGAAGCCAGGTCCTGCGGGTAGGCATTGGCCTCGGGGAGATGGTTTCTAAAGGAGGGCTATGTCTTCCATAGGCCTCAAGAGGAAGAAGGCGAGACAGCAGGGGAGGCTCCCCGAGGTCCACATCGTGCCGCTACCGAGAGAACGTCCCCGGTCAGTTTCCTATCCTATGTGTCTGGCTCCTGGGAGTCCTTGCTGCCAGAGCCCTCTCATCCCTACTAGGCTCAGCCGGGGCAGAGCCCGAGGGCAGCCATGCACCACCCCTGCTTCCAGACTCCTCCTTCAGATCAGTCATTTTTTTTACTTAGGTTTCCTTAATTTCTAGAGTAATTCCCCTCCTTGCTTCAACCCAGAAGAAACTGACATGCCAGGCCACTGACATGACTCTTTAGTTTGATTTTATCTAGTCTAATAAATTTTATTGTATAAATACATCACCATCTACATGAGGAGAAACAGTTGATCTAGAGAAGACTTATTTTTATATACCATTCTTCTCCCATTTTCCCTCTCACTCCACCCTTAACACAGCATGCCCTACACACACATTCACACGCATGCACGTGCGCGCGCACACGCTTTCTCTCACACGTGCACAAACAGACCATCTGATCTCGCCTGCCCTAGCCACGGGCATTCAGGGCAGTGAAGGGGGGACACCCAACCCTCTAGCCCACCCCTCCCTCCTACACAGAGCACCCTCCCCTTTGCTCCCAACCCCCCTCCCCCGGGCCTGATGCCTGTGGGTCGGTTTGAAGGTGGAGCTGGCTCTGAAGCAGGAGTGAAGGAGAGCCTCAGGGCTTCTGGGTCACAGGGCCAGTCCCCCCCACACCTGGTAGAAAAGGAGGGTGCATCAGAGACCTGGCTGACGGAAGTGTTGGGAGGGTCCAAGACCAGCTGCCGAAGGCGTGGGACACATGGCTTCAGGAAGGAATAGGTCTATTAGCTGAAAAGACCCAAGGTGCCCGGGCAGGGAGCCCGGGAGGCTGTAACCCCAATTTTGGAGAAATGCCCTGGGGAGCAGCTAAGAAGAAGACAAGACTTCAGCATGTGCCTGGCATGGCCCACCAATGCATGTACCCCTACCTGTCCAGCTGCCCGATTGAGCTTGCCTGAACCTCTAGGGAGATTGGTATTCTAGGTGGAAATTCCTGATACACCAGCCACTCTAGAAAAATGCACATACAGTGAGTCTTTCCCGTGCAGAATCTCTGTCAGATTTGTATTTCGGCCCTTCTCACACTTCTGAGAGTCACACACACCCCCTCTCCCACGCTGAGCTCCCTCTGCAGCCTCCAGCCTGGCCAGAGTCCTCCCTTTCCGAGCTGCACCGGCCCGTCATGTCCAGCAGAGGGCATTCCTGGGCTCCCGATGGAGGGCCTCTCCCAGAAGTGCCCTCTGAAGCACCCACCGTCGCATGTGGGGTCTCTGGTGGACTTCGTCCCAGCCCCTTTTTCCCAGAGACAGCCCCTACTGGAAGGAGAGAGAACTCTGGGGGCTGGCCCGAACTGTGGATGCTGGGGCTGGGACTGTCCCCCACGGCCCGTGCTTCAGCTGTGCATCCCTGTGTGTCTCCGTGAGGTGGTGTCCTGGGTCTGTGGGCTCCTTTGTGACCTCCTGCACGACTCCCGTGGTTTGTCATGTTCGTCTGTGTGAATGTAAGACACGTGCATCAGAGCTGCCTCCGTCCAGCACCTGAATGTCACTGGGTTTGGGGGAATAAAATCTGCTTGGGCCTGAGCATCTCTGGAATGAGGGAATGAGCCTACAATGGAGACCCTTCCCAGAGAGCCGGCCACTGCGCCAGAGGGGGAAATGCCTGGGTTTGGTACATGAAGAAACCAGATGGCACATCCAATGAACACCAGGCCCAAGGCCCGAGGCCTCATGGAAACAACCACGAGGCTGCTACTTCTCTTTTCTGAGCCCTTTGCTGGGCTTTATGAGGATCTCCAAAACTCCAAGGGAGGGCACAATCTCCAATTGGTCTTTGGTCTGAGAAGAGAGGAAAATGGGCCCCATGCAGGCTGGGACACCTTTGCAGAAACCGCAGGCCTGTCCCGAGAAGGGCTGACAGCATGCTGCCCCTTCTCTCCAGCCTGGGGCACGGTGGCTCTCCTGCTGTCTGTCCCCTGTGTGTGTGGTCCGGTGTGGGCACCCTGTAGAATAGATCCATGTGGCATTGCTTTCTGTGAAACCCATCACTAGTGCATGCTGGCTTCCTGCTCAGGGGAGTGGATGGGAGGGGACCAGGCACCTGAACCCCTGCCTAGCCGGCTCCACACCACTGGGGGGTGGGGGCAGCCTACTAGCCCCAGCCCAGGCCCCCCCTTCCCGGGTGCGTCCATGCTGTTCCACGTCAGTTTTTCCTCAAGCACATCATCATACAGTGAATTGTCTCCCTCATCACTTTTCCACATTAGAGCATGTTCTGGTAAAAAAAAAAAAAAAAAAAAAAAAAAAAATCCCTTCATACAGGTAAGTGTGTAAGTATGTGTGAGGCCAAGCAGAAAAAAGGTATCAAAAAAGCCAAAACTTCTGGAGTGGAAGTCAGGACACTGGGTCCCAGTCCATGATTCTGCTGGAGCGTTCCTGTGTGATTTTAGACAAACCACCTAATCCTCCTGGGTCTCCTCACCTTTATAAAGCCCTCTCTTAGGGATTACAGACCGTCCAGAACATTCCTGTGTGTCAAAAATGTACCTAAGTAAAGGGAGAGGCTGGGAGAGGTGGGTTTCCCCACTTTCTTCGGGTCTCATCCTCAGTCTAAGGAGCCTGTTCGCCTGTCAGGTGCTAGTTGGTGTGAGGCTGGAGATGGGAAAGAAGAGGTAAAGGGCTGGGATATTTGCCTTTGTCCTTGTTTGGGGAAGAGAGGCAGGGTTGGGCCTCAGCTCCTGCAGAGGTCTGGACCCTGAAGATGGCCCCAGGGTGCTGGATGGGGGCCTGGTGGCAGGCTGAGCCATTCCCTTTCCTCTTAGTTCCTGGGGCACTGTCACCCTAATACCCCCTGCCTTGTGTGTCTCCCCTTCATCCTGGGTGTGGCTCTGGAAAGGGCTTGGGGGTCTTGTCAAGCATCCTCATCTTCCAGACCCTGGGTGCCTCAGAATCCCCTGTGTAACATCTGTGGTGAGATGTGATTGATTTCACGGAGGAAAAATGGTATTGCAGAGGATCCAAATCCCTCCAGGCTTGAGGGGCCCCAGCCAACAGTGCTGGGAGGTCTTCTGCACACAGCATCTGTTTCTCGGCTTTGGGATGGGAATTGGGCCTGCTTGAGGAACTCTCCCAGCAGGGCAGCTGCTGGGACTATGTGAGAGACATCCCTGACAGGGACTGGTGTTCCTAGGGGCTGTGACAACAAGAAGGAGTCAGTCTTCAGGGTCATGGGATGGGTAGTCATGCCCTGCCCGCCTCAGGGACATGAGGCTACTCCAGAAAGCAACTGCTGGGTGCTGTTCGTTATCAGTCCCCTTCATCAGGTGGTCAGGGAAAACTCACCCAAGTGCAGCTCACAGATGTCACTCTTAGTGTGACCTTTCAAGACTGCCTGCCCCTGGCTGCCCTGGAGCGGACTGGGCATCTCAGCAGGGACAAGGGAAGGGAGTCGAGCCACCCAGGTCCCTTGCCTCTCCCTTCCATAGTCTCAGAGGTTGCTGTGGCTTCAGGGAAATAACCAGCCCTTGCAAATGTGAGGGACGTACCCCAGGTGCTGGGGGTGCTGGGTCACGGGCACTGGGTCACCGCCAGGATACCTTTCAGACTGGCAACCCCTTGGCCAGCTGGGCAGCTCCCCTCAGAGCAGCCTCCCTGGTGGGCGGCCTGGAGTTTTACTCAGCGGCCAGAGGCCAGGCTCCACTGTCCTTGGATGGAAGGGACGTGGGTGTGTGTGGAGGGAGCAGCTGTGTTTCTTCTTGCCTGAGCACACTTTCCCGATCCTTCCTCCCCCACCCTGTGAGGCTCAGCAGAGCTGCCGCTTCAAGCATTTTCAGCCCATGCGAATCATATTTGTTCATAATGAGCAAAAGGGGCCTGGAAAGGACCGTTTTCCCCTAAACCTGGGCGTGGCCCTGTCTCCCCAGGATGCCTGAATCCACGTTGCAGGGGGTGGGGTCTGCGTGCCATCTGGCACTGCACCCTGATATTCCAGGCTTCTTCTGGACCTATGTCCCCCACCCAGCTCTCCCTGCTGTGGCCACATGCGATCTTCCAGGCCCCGCTGCTCCAAAGGCTGCCCCTAAATTCTTTCTTGCAAGCTGTGTTTCAGAGCATCCCAGATACTGACGGACTCGGGACAGAACCCATTAACATTGGAGGCGATCTCAGAAATGGGGTTTGAAGCTGCCAGCTTAACCACTGGGTGTCAGATCTGGATGGGGGAGTGGACATCTTCTCTCTCTCATCTTTCTGAGTGGCTGGCTCAGAGTCACCACGGGATGGAGCGGCCCCCAGTTTCTCCAGGGCAGAGGGACCAGAAGAGCCCACACTGATGGCAGGAATGGTGAAGACCGCTGCCAAGGAAGCCTCATTCTCCTCCTGCCCATGATGGCGGTGGACCAGGTCTCCCCATCCCTGTCTGAGGGGACCCTGCACATTCCCCTCTCCTCTCCCCTCACTTCACCTGGTGCCCTCCCACCCCCATCATCTTCCCTGGTGTCCCAGTTGTCATCTCGGATGGATGGCCGGCCCCCAGGGTCCGGTGTGGAGCCATTCTGCCCCCCCCCCGTCCCACCTCTCATGAGAGCCCTCCACCCCAGCCACTCCTGCCTGCCTTCTCTCTGTAGGCATTTGTCTCTGCTCACCCTGAGTTGCCATCTCTTCATTTCTTCTTTCAACTCAACAAAGCATCTCTTTTTCTTCTCTTGTAAACAATTGTCTTCTGAACTGTCTTCCCAAGCTGCCTGCCCACAGTCCTTCCCACCCCTTTCCCAGAGGACAAGCGCCCAGACATCAGACACTGGGGGAGCATGCAGTTCTCAGCAGCAGAAGTGGCCGGCTTCCCCCACCTCCGTTTCAGAGCCTTGTTGGATTGCCTCAGGCATCCGGCCATAGGCCTCGTGTGGCCCCACACCCCTCCTCCAGCCCCTTCAGGTGTTCTCTGACTCATCCCACATCAGCGGGCTCAGCTCATTTGGACCAAGAACCGCGCTGGGTAGGTGCTCTCCTCTGGAGCAGTCCCCGCCCCTCGTGCAGCAGGATTCCATAGGAAGAACTTGGAGTTTGGGACGGGACAGATCTGCTGCCTTGACTTTCCACTCACTAGATGTGTGGCTGAGCAAGCTGCTCATTCTCCCTGACCCCCACTTTCCCGAGTCTCTAAAATAGGGGTGGGGATGATACCTGCCTCACAGGTGTGAGTATCAGAAGAGAGAACATAGGTAGAACTGCCATCGAGGAGATGATCCCAGCCTTCATTTTTCCCTTCATTTTTTCTCTGTCCCTTACTGCAGTCCTTCATCTCTTAAAAGCAGCCTTCTCCATATGAATGCCAAAGCCCTCCCAAACCAACCGCCCTGGAGTGCCTCCCCCTTGACCCGCCTACGTACACATTCCAGGCTCAGTCCTTGCTGTGAGATCAGTGGGCAAAACCATCACATCTCAAGGTGGAATGGTCTCTTCGCAGGGTGCACCCTCGTGCCCTGGTTCTCACGTATCAGCATCTCCTTTAGAGAGAAGCCCCCCCTCACTTGTGTTTCCTTGCTTGTTAATACATCTGGGTTCACCGAGCACCTTCTAGAACCTCCAAAACACCCTGTGGTCCCGAGCCAGGTGATTTTTCTCGTGGGAGCCCCGCATCTCTGTGCTGTCTTCTGCACCACCAGCTGGCTGGGCCTGGAAGTACACCTTCCACCCCTTTGGTCCAGAGCAGAAATGTACCCATCTTGTCCGCCTTCTTCTCCCCTTCTTGAACCTCCTTTGTGGCCCTCTGCCTACTTTGCCCAAGCCAGCTTCCTAGCCAGGCAGGACCCTAAAAAGTCAAGCTTAACAAGACTCCGAAAAGAGGTGGCCATCCCCTGCCCACCAGGAACTGAGGCCTCTCCCTGTTTGACTACAGTCCTGTGAGATCCTAAAAGCCTCTCCTCCCCTGATGTCCCCCAACCCGCAGCCAGTACTGCCTGTCCCCTGCCCTCCTCTGACCTCTCGATCCCAGCAGCCGGCACACACACATACCCCCCTCTCAGATGCCCCCACTGCAGCCACCTGTTCCCCAAAGCGAAGAACCTGGCTCCACCCTGCATACAGCCCCTCCCCCGATTCCAGCTCCCACCGCGGGCCATTATCCCTCGGGCTGTCACTCCCATTTACCAGCCAGGCTGCCCAGCTGCTCCAGCCTGCCACGGAGAATTTCCTCCAGGCCCCCTCTTTCAGCTCCTCCGGGTGGTGTCTCCAGGCTCGGCCCCCTCAGCAGTGTAGGCGTAATCTGTGCATCGTCCTCGTGAGCTGAAGCAGTGGGCTCCCTGCCTTACAACGTGGAGGGTAGAAGGGAATCTTCGATGATCTCCCTTCTCCAGGGCCCTTTGGCAGAACCTGCCTGTCTCTACAGCCACATGAGTAGCCAGCCCTGGGCCCCAGCTTCTCGCCTAGAATCCCCTCCCTGTGTCCCGCTCTCCACAGGTCCCACCCTGGTAGGGCAAGGCAGACTCTTCATATCCGAGCACGGCACAGTTCCAGGGGCAGCA